ATACCAGAAAGTTTTGTTGCACCACCAAGGGGTAGTGCTGGTTGACCGGTCATTAAACGCGGTAATGGCTAAGATTAACACCGAGTAAATGTTTTTTTTTAACTTTCAACTCCTTCGGACACGAGCCCAAAGTGTAGAAGGTAAAGCATAATGGAGCTACGTGTACTCTCGTACCACCTGTCGTGTTGTTCGACTTGAATGTTGGTTTAGTTGTATGAAATAGCGCGGTTGTCCGTGTGGGCCCTTTGTTACGCGTGCATAACAGAGTTGAAGAACCCAAAACAATCTTTGTTATCATATTTGCATTCTTGATTCACAAAGTTCAATCAAGCACAACACTGTGACAATGGAATCTGTTTAGTCATGAGTGTTGCCGTACATTGACCGGTCACTCGACCTGCCAACGAGCACGTTATAAGAAGTTTTTCACTCTGCTTTGTGTGTACTATTTAGCACAATGCCCAGGTATGCCACGTTTTGCTATACCGGTTAATCCTGTGGCCAAATCCTCCTTGCTCTATAGGAGATGAAATTAGGCACGGGCCTCAACCCACCCTCACCCCCTTCTGAATAGGGTTAAAACCCACGGTAAAATACTGAACAATAGTTTTATCTATTTTTACCTTCGCCAAGAAGGCTATGTTTTCAGAGGCGCCAGTGTGTGTGTCTGTATGTGTGTGTGTGTGTGTGTGTGTGTGTGTGTGTGTGTGTTTGTGCGTGTGTGTGTTTGTCTGTGTGTGTGTGTGTGTGTTTGTTTAAACACCATAATTCAAGAAGGCTTAAATAGATTGGCTTGATATTTAGTGGATAGATAGGTCTTGATGAGACCTCACAATTGTAAGATTTTGGGTCCCTTTTCGCCTTGTTAAGGTACTGCGGCGGAAATTCTGGTTTTGACATTTTATTATTCTGATAAAAAAACTTCATTCTCACTTCAAAAACCTTTATGGTAAAGAATCCACCCCCGGCCCCAACGTTTCAATATCACCCAGCAGCTTCGAAATGGAAATAAAAAACAAATTATGAAAGTTAGAGAACGATTTAAAAGAAAACCCCCTTGACAACCCAATTCTTAGTAATGAGATCAGTAAAGCAATTTCTAGCCTTAAAAATGGAAAAGCCTCTTAGATGTTAAAGTGTTCTCCTCACACTCTTATCAAGCCCCTCACAAAACTATTTAATATTTTTCTTTCCTCTGGATATTTCCCCCAGAATTGGTGCACTAGTCATATTGTTGCCCTTCATAAGGGCGGAGCAAAAGATGACCCTAGTAACTACAGGGGTATTTCGGTCACCAGCTGCCTAGCAAAACTATTCACATCAATTTTGAATACACGCCTAACAACTTTTTTAGATGATAATAAACTAATCTCCCCCAACCTGGCCGGCTTCAGAAACATGTCAGCACAAATGATTATCTCTTTGTTTTAGACTGGCTAATTACGAAATATTTCCATAACAACAAACGCCTTTATTCATGTTTCATAGATTTTAGAAAGGCATTTGACACAGTCTGAAGAGAGAAGGTCTCCGTTTCAAATTACAATTCGGGAATGGTGGGGGATTTCTATAAATTGATCAAATGCCTATATTGTAAACCAGAAACTTGCGTCAAAACAAAATCTGGCCTTACACCGCCTTTGTGACAGACAAAGGTGTCCGACAGGGGTGTAACTTAAGCCTCACCCTTTCTAATTTATTTATTAATGACTTAGTGAAAGAGTTAGATAATTCAGAATGTATGTCACCTTCTTTATATAATCTATATGTCTCTTGTTTATTGTATGCTGATGATGTAATACTTTCAGAATCAAACAAAGGTCTACAATCGGCCATAGATAGATTGAGTAACTTCTGCGACAAATGGAAACTCCAAGTAAATTTGAAAAAAAAAACTAAAGTTGTTATTTTTAACAAAGCAGGTCGTTCATTTCCAAAGCAAAAGTTCTACTTTGTAAACAATACAATAGACAACGTTACCTCCTACTGCTATTTAGGCCTAACCCTTACATCATAAGGTAGCTTCACCCTAACTAAAAAGCAGCTATCACTGAAGGCACGTAAAGCCATTTATACTTCCAAATCTATTATCCGTTCAACAGTATCACCACGTAGCCTCCTAAAGATTTTTGACACATGTGTAAAACCGATTTTATTGTATGGATGTCAAATACGGGGGACTGAACAGCAAAATGATACCTCACATATCGAAAATGTACGTAACCAATTCTGTAAAAATGTTCTCGGTGCTTTTAGAAATAGTAGCAATGTCGCATGTATAGCAGAAGTAGGTAGATTCCTTTTAGATAAAGATATTTGTATATATGTAGTTAAATTCTGGTTACGCCTGATCCAATTAGATACAACTTCACACCCCCTTCAAAGGGATGCAATACTCTTACAACAATGCCTTCCGACAAATACCCGTAGACGAACTTTACTTCAACGTGTTAAAGACATATTAGATCATAATGGATACTCCTTTCTGTGGCATTCCGATAACTCACATTGTGACCCTGAGCATGTTGCGAAAATGCTGAGAAGGAGACTTACAGATATGCATATACAAACATTTTTTCAAACCATGTCAACTGATAGTGGTAAGTTAGGATTTTATGCAAAATGTAAAACTATATACAACTTAGAACGATATCTTAATCTTGCAGATTTTGAACTACGCTCAGCCATTAGCAAAATTAGAGTTAGCGCACATCCTCTGGAAATAGAGAGAGGCCGGTATAGAAGGCTACCTGTATGTGAAAGAATTTGTAAATATTGTAATGCAAAAGCTGTGGAAGACGAAATACACTTTATCTCAAATTGTTCCTTTCATAGCAACGCTCGAAATGAGTTAACTATTCAAACTTCTACAATTTATCCCAATTTTACTTAACTTACAGACCAAGAGAAAACTATTCTTCTTTTTAACTTCACAAAACCCACTAATTTTAGAAAAGGTGGGACATTACGTCTTCCATAGTCTGAAAAAGAGAAGTCAAACCCCTTAGACAGAGTTTAAGGCATAGCTATAGCTCTTGACAACTACCTTTTATCATATAGATTTTAGTTATTTTATACAACGTTTCATTGTTCTTTTATATTTGTAATCTGCAATTAGCCCCCCGGGCATGAATTTGCAATAAACTTTACTAATTATCTAGGCAGGCAAGGGGCGTTAAAATTGAATGAAAAGGGTAGCTCTTGTGCTCAGGAAGACGTGACATAAGGTTGGGCTCCCTAGCGGCTTCCTCTGAATATGCAGGGGCGTTTGTTGACAAAAAAAATGTAGGTTGCTTAAGTAATGCTCGACATAATTGAAGACAATTATGCAAACAACCCAATTTGTATCATTGATGTGGAAATAATGTAAAACCACTATGTTCCGTTATGAGACTGCACAAACTTGTGACAGATGTAACAAGTGTCATGGGACTCTAGTATATAATAGTGCTTTCACTATAAGTGTTGCTATAAACCTTGTGGAGAAAGTTGGTATGGTATTTACATGTAAATACACATTACTGTACGCACTGTTTAGGCTACCTAATGATATGTCAAAAATTGTCTTCCGTTGCTTTGTTAAACGATAGTGCTAGGTGACCAAATAACAAATGTATTCAGTCATCAAACCTGGTAGAGGCTAAGATTAGCACCAAATACATGTTTTGTACCCCAACTTTTAATGGCTTTGGACATGGGCCAGCAAATAGCATAATAAAGCTACTCTCGTATTATGTACTATGCCGTGTTGTTCGGCTTTAATGTTGGTTTAGTTTTATTAAATAGCGCGGTTGTCCATGTGAGCCCTTGGTTACGCGTGCATAACAGAGATAAAACCAAAACAATCTTTGTTATAATATTTACATTCTCGACTCACAATGCTGCAAAGTTTAATCGATCATTGATAAAAAGGAATCGGTGTGAAAATTAGGGTTGCCATGCAATTAGATGGTAAACATTCATGACCGGTCACTCGCCCTGCTAAAAGGCACGCAGTAACGAGTTTTCCCTCTCTATCTGTGTACTTAGCATGTTACCCAGGCAATGTCACGTTGCACCATACCGGTTAGTTCTGTAGCCAAATCCTTTTGGCCGAGCTTTCACCAAGAAGGTTATGCATAAGAGATCGTTTGTTTAAACTCGTTTCTAAACAACATTGACCTTTGGTTAATCTTCATTTTGTTTTTCTATGTTGTTAGGTGTCGATGAAACAAACAAGCAAAAAAATACATTCTGTGGTGCCTGGGCTTTCAGTTTTTTTCAAAATCAAAGAACGGAATGACATTTCGTCAAGTTTGTTGGTGCGTGTTTAGATGTCTAAGTCTAAAGGTTTAATAAATTTGAAAATGAACATTTTAATATATTTGAACTTATTTAGACATTTCTGAAAGTGTCTTTATTTAGAATATATTTTAAGAACCTATGTGTCTCTTTTACTTTTTAAATTATTTCAAGCAAATAAAAAAAAATGGTACATGTGGGTTATTGTCTCCTTAAAGGTAGGTGCTAATCCGACTCTTCTGTCTTCTTCTATATATTTTTAGATTTCACTGCTGGATAGTTCTTTTGTGGTAAGGCATCCATACATGATGCCTAGGCAGACTTCCCTGTTTTTCACAGGGATGTGTGAATTACTTTTTTTCGCAGCCCACTGACCTATTTACACATTTTTACCAGAAATTGTAAATTATGATTTTATTTAAGAACTATTGGAAATGTCATATTTCACTTCAGGCATATCTTAACAGTTTTATAAAACCAGGAAATTATTTAAAATGTTGAAAGGATACATTTCCAATATTTCCAAACAATGAAATTTCTTATACAAACAATTACAAAGAATTGAAAGCATTTCTAAATAATGACAATAACGGTGATATGGATTTGACTCTATGTATCAATGGCATTTATACTTTAAATTGGGAGCCATTTTGTATTTTTCTACGGACACTATACATTTTCTCGGACAAAAAAAGTAGGGAACTAAAATAATGAAATACCTCATCTGGTGGAAAATGGATGAAGTCAGCTGGTGACTTTTGGTGGTGCGATAGTTGTTGTACTGCAGACTCTACTTCCTTTGGGTTCATTTCAATCCTGATGTAGCACCTAGGATTACCGGAAGTGCTACGAATCGAAATATCCTGCAATATATAAAAATCCAAGGTAAATTATCGATGCTTCAACTCAAAATTTATAGTCTACCTACCCCGCATAGTCTACGTGTTTAAAAATTAAGGCCACGCCAAATTAATTTAATGGTTCTCGGATTGTTTTTTTTTAATTGAAGCGAATGGGCAAAAAAACCTGTGAAGGCATCCTATTATATCCCCAAATGCTAGAACAGGAGTCAACGCAAAAGGTCAAACAATGAATTTTGATTGTCTAATCAAACCACTGCGTTGATAGATGAAAAAAAATGTAACAACTAGGAAGATAAGGACTTTTCACAACTATTAGGGTCAAGATTTGAGAATTTTGATGATGATGAGCTGTTTGGATATTCAGAAGCTGATTCATAAATAGAAAAAAAATTAGGTGAATCCAAAAACCAACAAACAGTGCAAGACCGTGCCTTATATGATAAAATTGAGTTACATAACTTCCATAGAAGACTCGAAAGAAATTTGATACTGTAATTCATTGTTCTGTATCTACTGAATATCTAAAGAAAACTGTAAAAAAAATAAACAGCAAATCCCTGTAGTTGATTTCACCGAAGTGTGGTAATGACTGCATCACTATGAAGTAATGAAGTTAATAGTAAAAAGATACACATAGAAACTTTATTGTATATACATACTGTAATTAAAATATTAAGAGACTACGTTAGACATTGACTATAAGTTGTGTTAACTTTGAAATGTATATAATGTTGAAAGCTTGGATATGTATGACTTACGTTACTGTAAATGAAGTATGAAACATAATGTACATAATCAAAGCGTATTATGTGAAAAAATAGACAATACGTATGTAAAAAATATTATTCCACACTTTTAACGACATTTTGCTGGTGTTGCACTACAAACCTAATTGTCCAACGTTCACCGCTTAAGTTGAAAGACAACTTCGCAATAGTTCATAAAATGAGGCAGGCTCTCCTTTTTGCAATATTTTCAACGCAAAGGAAAAATAGTAAATAGGGTTCTACTCTTAAAACCACACTAAATGGCAGTTTTTCTGAATATATGCTAAAAAGTTACATGGGAGTTTATCATTACTAAATGCGCTCTATAGAGGTTTCTAACAATTGCTTTTAATAGTGATCAGTCAATTTTGGACTTCAAACATACTAAAATGAACTCAAATAAAAAAAAAAACTAAAATAACTTTGTAAATATGCAAACAAGTGATAGTATGTAAAATATATAGTAATGAACGTGTAAGATACAAAGAGATACAATAATACGAGTTTATTTCTAAACATAGTTAAATTTTCAATTTTGAAACCAGGTGCACCAAATAAGGATACAAATTTAATTATTCTTAATTATACACGCTTAAACTAGAAAAATAATCGCCCTTCAAATCTTTACATCACTATGTTTATACACTCTAGACGGACACCAGAACTAACAGAGTTGCAACGTTTACAGCATAATTTTTTGTGCGACAGCGTTTTTTTTTCTTAGGTCCATAAGGGACTGTTGGACCTAAGGGCCTGAACGCCCATAATCCCTGTAATCATCGCACATGATTGCCTATATTGCAAATGAGGTAAATAGGAAAGATAATCAACCACATAATTGCCTTGATATGATGTGTATGGCTATTGATGCATTGTTTAACATTTACGATAAATTAACATTATTCAGTTAAACCTGCTTGTGTATGGCGTTAAGTAGTAAGATTCGAAACAAATACCTGTAAGATCCCTTCCTGTCTTGAAATTGAGACGACTGTTTCACTGTAACAGACTAGAACAGCAAGGTGGAGAAGCCATTTGGCCACCATCTTTGCTAGATCTCGGTATCTTAACGGTCACTCTTAGAATAGCGTCTACATTGTTATATTGCATGAATGGTCTCCTGCCAAGCCAAGACTGCGTTTGCGCAATAACATGCAGTGAATTTGCCGCACAAGAGTTCAGCTACTTGGTATGTTGTTGGGTTACCTGCACCCTGTCTAACATCCCTGCAAAGGCGTTCTAAGGTTATTCATTAACTTGAACAAAGGCCCGTTGCCCGGCCAGGTTTGCGGCGAACGATTGTTATGAACACCCCCCTTTGGCCTCACAGAAATATCCCGCTGTTAGACCATTTACCATAACAGCACTTTTGTGTACCTGATCAGCCAAATACCTGACGTATTCATACTCTCTGATGTTAGAATTCTTTCCTAAGGGCTGTTTAGGACATTTTGCTTATTTCAGCTTGTTTTGACGTTTAGTACCGAAGACAACTATATTTTTTTTGTAATCCCTAAGATTGATTTCTACTGACAAGACCGTTCTAGAATGGGATCACTTGTGCTTTTACAAGTCCTGGTAGTTGGACTCTGTGCATCGTTTACTGTCATCAGGTGAGCTCATATGTGGTAATATACTGTACAGCTTGGCTAAATAGAACGTATACATTGGCGGTGTTAAGGCAGGATATATCAGCTTTAATGTAAACCGTATACATAACAATTTTGCCCATGTGATTCTAAAATTTATAGTGTCACTATTTCTAAAATTGAAGTAAACTTAGAACGGCGCTAAAAGTATTATTTTCTTTGTTTATACTATAATGAATATACTACGCACATGCATGGTTTTAGAATGTGTATAACGTTAAATGATTGTGCAGCCATATATTCTTTGGTGCAGTACAAACACAGATGAAATGACATAAAACCAATGTGTATATTTGTTTACAGTTCGAGCTACTGTTACGTTACTAGATCCATCACGGTGGCCACAAGCCAAGCTTACTACGTGAACTGTGGTATCTGGGGTTGGAATTGGGCTACATGCACAAGATATAGGTTTGCTGACTTTTTCTTTGGTTTCACAAAACTTATATCTCTTCGCCTGAGGGGCATTTTCTAAATACTATTTTTACCGAAAAGCAACTATTAGACACTTAAACATCAACTGATCTGTCAGGTCATCATTGCAAAGTTAGGATTAAAATTTCTTATGTATTAATATTAGATATCTTATAAAAGTTTCAATGGTCTGATGCAACTTGTTTTAATCAAGACCAAAATAATTTTAGTGAAAATATACTTTCTCCAACATTTTACATCTATGCTTTATATAATTTCAACTTTCCTAGATTGACATACAGGGTCGTATATCAGCGGTTTAGAACATGCTGCAGTGGTTGGACAGGATATCAGTGTAATGAAGGTAAGTGTAAGGCCTTATTTTAGGTAAGTTTTGATATTATGATATAAAAAATCCTAGTTCACGTAAGATCTTAGCTTTTACAAATTTAATACACCAAAAATACTAGTAGAGTTAAAGCATAGGCGTACTTATATACTTATATCAAATGAGTTATAGAAACGCTACATTGCGCTGTGAAGATTGTAACTTCACAGATTTTTTTTTTTAATCCTATGATAAAAGAAACAGCAACTCGGTTATACTGTACACTGATAGCAACACCGCATGCTGTTTTTAAATATAGGCTTAAAATACTAGTACATCTAAATGGTTTATGCAAGTAATTTATATATTTAAAAATGTACAGCTTTTTGTTTCTTATCACATTTTTAAGCAATATGCAGCCCGAGATGCCTAAACGGAGGAACCTGCATAATGCCACCTTACGTCTGCAGTTGCCCACCGGGCTTCAACCCTCCTCGTTGTGACCGTAAGATTTGGTGCATAATGTGTACAACATAACTAAGGTTATTAAAGCTAGCTAGAAACTAGAAAGGCCAATATTTGCTTTGGAGCAAATACAGCGATGGATTCACCACATTTTACCACATGGCAGGGAAAGAATGAGAAACACAAGGGAAAACAATGATTTAGTTTTAATTACATTGATATAACTATAATATGAAGTAACATACAACTAAAACAACAGTTGGATAGCTATTCCCTACTTTATTGGTTAGGATTTTTAATTGCATAATGCAAACTGTTTATTTTCAAAATAAAATAAAAAACGTTCATGCCCCGCATTCCAATGCTGGAGCAGAAAAGCTTGAAATACCTACCAAAACACTTGAATAAAGACATACTGTCAGTATGGAAATGCTCTGTGCAGGTGTTAATCAAGTTAAATCCCAACAGCCAATCAGCAAGAAATGCTCTGTGCAGGTGGAAATGCTCTGTGCGGGTGTTAATCAAGTTAAATCCCAACAGCCAATCAGCAAGAAGTATAGAGGAAAGCTGCATGCCTATTGGTTGATGCCCTGCATTCCATTGTGATGACTCATGGTAAACACGGCACACTAACACAGTAATCTATACTCTATGGCAATCACTCGTGATCTTTATTTGCAATCAGATACAGATTCATGTACAGATACATAGTCATGCACAGATACAGATTCATGTACAGATATACAGACTTTCCGAGTATGATGACCGTGTCAGTCCCTACACCTGAGTGAGGGTCACAGTTGACACGGTAGCCTTCGCGTGGATTTGTTTAAGGTGGATAACAGGTTGCGAATCTGAGACCCACACACTTGGGCATCCGTCTTCCCCAGCGGATCCATCGAGGGAGACGTGCTGGTTCCGGTTCGGGTGCTTGCAGCGAGCTGCCGGTGACTTGGTTACGCTCAAGTTCCGCCTTGACTACGCCAGCCCGCCTGGCGCTGCTCTCGTCCGCCAGCTGAAGACAACTGCCGTTGGAGACTTGACCCTCTAGTTGAGGGGGGATACGTGTAAAGTGCCTTTCCCAAGGGCACAACGTCGGTGCGCATGTTCGGACATGCCCCCGTGCTCCGACCCAGGTTCGAACCCGGGGCTCCTTTGTTGAGCGCCGAACGCTCTATCCACTACGCCACACGACGCCACGAACACAGTAATACATTTGCTATAACACAGCCAAAAAACTCAAATAAAACCATTCTAAAAGCCTGTATCACAAAAATTTAAAAAACGCCTAGGGGTATTTGCCCACTGTACCTCCATACCAAATTTCAGGACCTTAGGCCCTAAAATGAAGAAGCTGAATCCATTTAAAGATATGGCAGGAGGAGGAGAAGGAGGAGGAGAAGGAGGAGGAGAAGAAACATCAGAAAAAGCAATATGGGTTCACCACCACTTCGTGGTGTGGTGAACCCATAATTAAAGAAAATTAAAATTGAAATTAAAGCTAAAATTAAATAACAAAATACAAAACCTCTCAATTAAAAAACTACATATAATGCCAATTGGTCTATAGGTTTTAAGTAGTAGCAACAACTCATTTTCAGAGACTTGTATTTTGATCCATGCATAATGAAAGTTATATCTAAGATTTACATACAGTTTTGTTGCTTATTCTATTATCTAGGCAATTATGCGTGTGCGAGCAATCCATGCCAGCACGGGACGTGCGAAGAGTTCTATACCCACTACCGTTGCACCTGTCATGACGGATGGCAAGGAATTAGGTGTAATATAGGTAATTTCATTTTTGTTTACAAACCAATAGTTCGTTTTTGAATATTTAATTCCAATGATATACATGTATTTTAAACACGTATTTATTTTGGTTATGTATTTTATGTTTAAGTGGTAAACTGCGGGCATCCTGGTTCTGTTACCAATGGGAATGTGATAGGCAACAGGTTCCTGTACGGGGACACAGTATACTTCACCTGCGACACGCACTACGTTCCTGTGGGCCAGACTTCAGCTCATTGCCAGGGAAACGGGCAGTGGTCGACATCAAAGCCAGTTTGCCTTTGTACGTAAAATATATGCTTTATATTAAAACTGTGGCACAAAAGAGTTAAAATATGCTGTGAAATCAGTGCATAGTACCAAGTTGCAAATAATCAACTTTGAACTTCCATACAGTTTTAAAGAGCAAGCTGGAACAAAAAATGTTAGTAATGTTTGTAAGGGATGCATTGCATTTTCTTCCTGTACAGTCGGCAACACATGCCAAAGCAATCCATGCCAAAACGGGGGGACATGCATAAACAGTGTCGAGCAGCACGAATGTCTCTGTACTGAAGGATGGACTGGAGAAATATGCGAAACAGGTATGGCTTGTTAAGTAGCCGAAAATTTATCAAAAAGGAACAACATTATATTATAGATGCAGAATTTGTGCACGCCCAAAGAATTGAGGTGACCTATTACATTTCTGGCTTATTATAAGCTCAAGTTCTACTTTTAGCCTGTGACGAAATCTGTAGTGCATTATAGATGTTTGCTGTTGGAGTGTTAGCTGTGTTCTGTAAAATTGTCAATACGTACGTCAGTAGCCAATTACAAACTAAATTCAAGTGAGAATTGTGTTAACAGCATTATCTACTGTTCACTGTTCTATCATAGATTATTTGTTCAGATTATGTTGATACCTACCCTGAAGCCACAAAGTAGACCCAAAAGAAGCTCAGGACTATTGTTTTACTTCTGGTGGTTTTGCCTAACATACAGATACAAAAGTGAAATTGAAGAACATTGTCTATCAACGTATACAATTTCAAAATCATTATGTACTTTGTTTCTCATTGTGTAAGAAACAAGAAAAAAAGCAAGAGAAATGTTACATATGTTAACTCATAACAAATGTCTGACAAATATAAGACATTTCCTCCTTTGCAGACATATCACCACCGCGTGTCGACTTTTGCCCTCGGGATCAAGATGTAACAGCGCTAAACAACACGGAAACGGTGAGCTGGCAAACGCCGATTTTTAGTGACTTCAGAAATGAGACAGTCCATGTATCATCGAACTATGCCGGAAACAAAGGGACATTTCCGTGGGGACAGTACGATGTCCAGTACACCGCGACCAAGCCTTTCAACGGCCTGAGATCTTCTTGCGAGTTCACAATACGAGTTTATCGTGAGTTACATTACCATTTTGTGTTGTGACTAATTTTTACCGTTGGTTCTAAATGACAAGGGGTTACATTAGGAAATTGTCACTTTCATGCGTAATTAATGCAATTGATATCAGAGACATCACATCAAAACTTTAATGAAATACTTTTAATTTTCCCTTTTATTTTTAAAGTTACAATGCTTTTAGTAAAAAAAGCGGGTATTAACATCATAATTTACCTATAGCATGCAAAAAAAATACAATACGTAATTCTATTGAGGAATCTGCATTGCAAAAATAGCATAAAAGTTGAATCTTCATGTTGTGATAAAAAATGAAGAAAATTAAGACAAAGTTGTTTTTCCACCCGTAGCCCGTCCATGCCCACCGTTGGCTCCCCCTGCCCATGGGGCCTTGGCTTGTAACGGCTGGATCACGCGGCTGGGCCGTGTATGTAAAACCTTCTGTCAACAAGGCTGGACCCTTCCTAGGGGACAGGAAAACAAGTTGAGTCAGCTATACGTGTGTGGTGCCCACGGAACGTGGCTTCCTTCAGCTACAATACCATGCTCTGGTTAGTAAAATCGTTGTAATATCGCATTACACCAATTTACTAGAATAACCTTACAGTCTGATTTTTATTTTAAAGATTTTCTTTGACGGTATTGTCTTTTTTTTATTAATGATAATTATAAAAGTTTGAACGTAGTCCAATTCCTAATGTAGATGGCATTATGGGTACTTTAAAGTGCTTTATACCAAGGGTATTGGGTCGTATTTTAATGGCAACTCATTGCTGGTCGTTAATGTATCCTAGCCATTCAAATTGCGTTACCAATAATTCTGTTTTATTGTTTCAGCTCGAAGTACAGGAGTTGATGAGGTCACCGGCTACTTCCCTGGCAACTGCACCAGGAGGGATGCTATAAATAGTATCAAAGCCCAGTATTTGGCAGCGCTACGTCATTCATCGTTCTCCCAAATCTGCACATCATGGCATGACCTGTGCTCGGAGGACAATGTAGAGGTTACTTGTGGTGAAAACTGACAAAAAGTGAAATTTTCATTTGCAAAAATAATTTGTCATTTACAGAAATAGCGTGATTACTAATCGATGTCGTTGTCAGAATTAATTTTGCTTCTAGCACGTTGTTTAATACATAATATAACAAATTAAGCTTGCTAAACAATTAGCAATCTGAATTTGTCGCATTTTAGTACATCAAAACAGTAATATAGCTTTTACATCTGTAGCATTTAACAGCATATTATTACGCTCAACATCTGTTATCAAAATCTAACGCTATACCATAATTCCCTTTAGAATTTGACATTTTAGTATTGTACTGGACATGAAGTACTGCAAGATGATATTAATTTATCGGTTGTTTGATCGTTGCTATGTTTTTACCTTACCTGTATCCAAGGATCACATGTTGTTGGCAGTTGGAAATATTCTAGAGTACGGTTGCTAACTACATCTAGATTTTGTATGCCTTTTTGATATGATCAATTTATTATATGTGTATAATAAAAATTCATTTAGACCCCTTTGTTTTTTGTTTTTCTTTTTGGAAACGATTTACTCGACTTTAAAATGTTATACAGGAAGATATCAACAGTCATTCTCAAATATTAGCTATGATCACCCTTACAGATGGAAGGGTGAGAATGTTCCTCATTTTTGATAGGAATCAAAGTGACCGAAGTAATGGGTGACTAATTAGCCACTGAAATGTTTTGAATTTTGTTTTCACGCTATTCACTACAAACGACTATTAATATATCTTTTCGTGGGCAAATTAGCCAGCAGAGCTAATACATGACATTCACAATTGTAAACTTAATCCACCTGTTACAAGCCGCTACATTAATAAACGTAATGGCTCAAAGTAGGTAAACAGCATTTGTTCGTTTCTAGCCATTGCAACTGCAGTTTCCCCGTTAAGGAGGAATGGTTAAACAATGACGCCATGGGAATACAAACAAGTTCAAACATGATAAGTTTCACGTGGACCGGGCAGATGTTAAGATTAACCTGTCATGTAACACCTGTTCGGTCACCTGGCAGCAGCTCAAGCAACAAATAACAAGGATTGAATAGAAGGAAAGTTCCCGTGTGTGCGTGTGTCCTTGACGTTTCTGTTATGTGAATACGTCAGAGGTCAGTTGGCCCACCTACTGCGTGAAAGGTAAACGCTCAAGTTTACAATTGACTTATGGGGCAATTTGATCAACCGCCCTGAGAAAGTGAGTGTTTTCGGCCTGTGTTCTATCGAAGTGCACAATGAAGAAGACACTGGTAGCTTATATCACCGTCTTTGTATTTTGCTGTCTTGTATCTGAAGCTGCCATTTGTGACAGCATTTTGCTCAACCCAAGCCGGCATCAGGTGAGTATTGAATACGTGCAATACCACTTAAATATGTGGTTTCCCGTGCCATCCTCAAGGGGATTTGTAGCCAGGTACAAAGTGAACTAAACGTGTATAATACCATGTACATATTCTTTAAAGTACATCATTATTTATCAATGCATTTATGTTGTGAAATGGGTGGATGGTCGACGATATATCAAAATTTAACTTGTCCATAAGATCATTTCTCAAATTTGAAAACGTCTAAAGTTTTCATAAAACTATATTTATACGATTTTGTAAATTATTGAAAGATGGTCTTTTCTTAAAAAAATAATTGAACCTTTGGATGCTTGTACTACGACGATTGGCTGCAAAATATTAATTTAGTTCATCTGATATATAATGTTATGTCATAGCATGCAGTTAAATATGTCCGATTATTGTAATTAATCAACGGCTGTGTTTGTGCATTAGAAGCTGTTGACTGTCAGTAAGGAATGGGGGACTTGTGTAATCGTGCCCAAGAATAATCTAGGGACTGATACGCAAGATACGCCGACGGTAAGCTACACTTGTATAATACAATTTGTTAACCGTTAAATAGATGTAACGTATTATCAATGTTATTAAGTAACATGACACTCTGTAGAATGTGTATAATGCAGCAATGTGTGTGTCAATAATGCAAGCGAAAGGTAGGGAACATAATGCAAAATGATCTATCTACAGATTGTTAAAAACATGATAAATATCACAGAAAGAAAGCCCTTTGACTACCTGGTCGACCCTAATATCTATACGTACACTGAGCCAGACCTTTTAACGTGGACTCCTACATAGTCTAAGTTTCTTTGTAGAGAGTGTATATGCATAAATAATGTAATCTGTTCATAGATCGTCAACCTACCTTTTGTCTTGTACTGTTTTATCATACCTCGTCAACAAGCCAAAACCTTTGTAATAACCACTAGTTGGGCCACCCTGCGAGTTGTGCGGCAAAATCAATAAGTAACATGCTTTTTGACTGATATTTTAAGAAATATTTTTCTTTGTTTATCATCTTTTATGGTTATGATTTCGAATGAGCTTGTAAATATCCATATATGTATTGCTTTGTAATTGTATACTTAGAACATCACATATTTTTGCAAGGCAATATACCTACTACATATAGATTTGTTATGTATACCTATTTGTATCATTGATTGTTTTGGCAGCATGTTCAGAAAGAGGCAGTTAAACAAGTTAAATATTAAATATTTTAATGCAAACGATTGTCGAAAGAGATCTATTCTAAACTATTATTAATGTTGCCAGAATCCTAAACTTTCTATGCCTATGGTTATACGACAGATGCTTTAAAACAAAAACATTGTGCTTGTGTATGTTACCAATATGGTTGCAGTAAGTTCACATTATATCTCTGAGACTCCGTTTGTTATCGTAGACATAGAATACAGACGTTTTAGCAAGTAGAATCGATTAACTTTGCAATACTGCTATTTTACACTTATAAGTGTCTATGTAAAACGTGATCATACCGTTTAATACTGTTTAGTAATTTTCGTGGCCTTTCTAAAAATGCATGCCGATAAAAGTTTGCAAAATCCTTAGATATGCCCAATTTCGTTTGCCTTGAAGAAATCAAGTCTCAGAAGAGCTTGTTATTATACTTGATTGTAAAGCAATTAGCCTTCGGGCATAGCCTGGGTGCCATTCCCTACCGCGAGTGAGTGATAATCCCTCGGCCAGGGAAAGCCACTAGCCCCGCCGACCCTGATTTGCGCACTGGCTCTAATTATCTCCTCGCTGGCGTGAACGATATTGTGTTTGGGGCAGCCTGGGGTTGGGTGGCGGATGCAGTAGCGGACATTAGGGCTTCTTTTCACACAAAAAATCTATCGCTTTATGAACGCCAGCGTCTGGCACCCAGGCTTTTCGGGCATGATTTTGCGAATAAAGTTTCAATTATACACGTATTTATTTATTAAGTCTCGTCACAGCAGTTTTAGGAATATATGGCCTATTTAATGGCTTCATTAAAGAAATCACATAAATGACGTAATCATGGGCAAAATGCTTCGTTGATAATAATATAAATAATATTGATATGACGCCTTCTGATAATTTGGTGGTCGCCAGTAGTAGATTAGGGCTTATTATTACTAATGGCGGGATTCAAAAAGTCACCCCTCCATGCCCCATGGTAAGCAAAAAGCCTGGTTCAGCTGGCTTTAGCTTATACGTTTGATGTGATTTATATGTTTTATTTGTCATACTTGTAACTATGTAAGTGTTTAAGTAGGATTTTAGGTCCAGTTAAGACTACGTTTTTTGGTGCTATAAAAGGTAGAGTATAAAAATTCGCCTAAACTGTGAGGCCTAACCTAAAACTTTTGCGGATTTTTGGCACATTTCTAACTTAATATATCACCCTGTTTCTGTTTTCGTTTATTCGTTTATTTCGATACCCTTTAGTCTAAGGCGAGTAGTCTTCCAGGGTTAAAACATATAAACATATGAACATACTGACAACAAAATAAAAGAGAATGAACATACATAATCATCACAAATTCTAAACAGGTTAAACAAAACGATCATGACTTAACATATACAACTTAGCTCATATACAACTGGTGGATGTTTTGATAAAGGTGTACGCGGATGCATACACATTTAATGCCACAATTTAAACCATCATGCTAGAAGAGATGAAATCATTTATCATCTTATTTGCTAAACACGTTGTAACCAATTTTTCCTTTGTATTTTGTCCAATTTGTGACGATGAACGCATGCTTTCAATGGACATCAAATTTTCATTTTTTACCAAAATTGCTTCATAAATAGAGAGTAAATTCCTTTATCTTTTTTATCAAGATATAAAAATGCCACCTGCATATAACAAACACAATAACCCCTAAACAGCGTTGTAAACATGTGTAATCGCCAAGCACATGAGTGGAGTAATGGAAAAATAAACTAAAAAAACAGTACATGACTTACTACGCCTTTGAATTAGAGCAGGTGGTTGTGAAAGAAAAAAGTTTGAAGAGACTAAAGCCCCCGTTATACAATGTACTTTTAGAACCTTCACTACACATTGTCCCTAAAAACCAGCGGGTCAAGCTGTTGAACAGTCTGGCAGAATTTCCGCCATGCTTAACATATCCATACGAATTGAACCCAATTTTATTTTAATTATAATCACATTTGCCAGCAGAACATACCGTAAACACGGCTCTCTTTATCCCGATATGGTTGCTGCTGTTGTGCTTTTGTTGTCCAGTTGGATATTTGTTTACATTAAGTTAAAGCATGACCCCTTATACATAGTGAATTATAGACAAGTGTACAAGGCAGGTAAGCAAGGGTAAAAACGTATTTAGTGGTATGACTTTAATGAATGAAGAGAGCAATTTATAATACATATTGTCCCACTGGGGTGAGCACAGGTCACATGTTAATACAAATATAAAGGTCTAGAATGCAGTACTTTTTACTTCTTCTCTATTCTTGGTAAGTGTATGAATATAGTTGGCTGTGTGATTAGTAAGAGCTGGCTTATCAAACACTGTAAGAAACAAAGATTTCCCGATACAATTCAGATACTTAAAATGGAAAAATGCATTTAACACATAATCGAAAAGAATGCTTATGTCGCTATCACAAAAAGAACAATCTACAAAAAATAACATAAAATGCACCTAGTCTTTTACTTTACCTAAACTAGTAGGAGAATGTCTTCTTTATCCGATGAAGTTCATTAACATATATATATGTATTATTAACATATATTACATTGTTAAGATTACCCCCGATTTTATTCTAGCATTTGCAGATAATATATTCCATTCTATTTTAGATAGTTTTACGTCTCTCTAGAAGAAGGGATAACGTATAACAGTCAATTTTTTTTCTTTTTATAATGACCAAGATTTTAATTGGAATATTTGCTATTATGTGATTTGTCCCTTTCTTTAATTTTTCCCAAAAATTATCTAATCGTGTGCAGTTGAAGAACATATGTTTTTCGCCTTCTACATATTCGCCTATGCGGCATTGTTGGGGTATTTCTACTTTCCAGCTGTAAAAATTGTCCACATATTATATGTCTTTCGGTATTGTTTCATTATTTAGTCCTGTCAATTTTGTAATTGTGTTTTTTTTCCGTTTCTCCATTCTCAATTTATAGCATTTGCAATCTTAAGATACTCTTCTTTGTTATAAAAATATGTTATCGTTGTAGATTTCGGATATGAATGTCTGAAAATAAATATCTTTAAACACTCATGAATTGATAAAATAATATTGGACGAACTTGAAACGATTAATTAGGCACTTTGGCTGCATAACCCCTTTTTTTAAGTGCTGCGTACACCAGACGCCCAACACTTTGTACATGTAGATTCTAAATCTACTTAACATACTTTACTTGAATGAAGTAATTAATGGTATGGCAGGGTGTTTCCAGATGAATTTGGAATCTCTCTAATTTAGCTCGCACAGAACTCTAGAAACATTGAGTCAGCAATTGCGAAATACAAAATAAACAATTTCAACTGAACGGGATTTTCAGCTTTGGAATGCCACCCAGCTTTGCAATTTTCAGCTTTGTAAATATGGAATATCCCTCTTATTTTGGACATAGAGTAAAATGGGTTTACACAAGGGTCAAATATTTTAAAGGCTAATGATTGACTTATCCCAATTACATATATAGATCATAAAAGATGGATAAGGAATTTACGTAGGAAAATAAGATGTGTTAAAATGAAAATTGCGTTGATTAAGAAAATAAGATCTTCATTCCATTTCCATCAATGGTTAGATCAGCTCGGTATTTTCTCCACCCAATGAAACTTTTCTAGCACTTCCTTACAAATTATGCAAATGAGGTTATGATTAAAGAAAAATATGTTCCACTTCCAAATGTGACAAGTATAATCTGCCTGGCAGTTACTAGTGATAAAATTTTAGAAATTAAGTATGCCAATTAGGTCTTTATTTACATAATCTATGTAGTCAGATGTTATTCTCATTCCCAGTTATATATGTGTTTATTACTACCCTTTACGGAATACAGCAGATTTATAGACATTCCTCTTTAATCATGCAAATTAACCATGATTTAAATACTTATTATCTATTAATGTTAAGCATTGGTTAAGTTATCTACTTACTAAAAATCATGACAATTTATCTGGCGGTTCTTAAGTTATCCTCCCTCCTTGAATCATCCTACCCTGCTGATCAAGAGAAAGCTTCTAGGGGGCCAATATCAACTAATACTGTTTCTTCCCTAGCCCAAAAGCTATCTACCATCCAAAACATGTTACCCTAGCATGTCCAGGTCATGTGATATAAACACCAAAAGTTCTTTGCAAGCTTCTTGAGTTATCGTGATAGAATACATCCACACACACACACACACACACACACACACACACACACACACACACACACACAGTAAACGCTATGGAAAACAAAAAATCTTCTTGGCGAAGGTATTATTAGGAAATGCTGTACTTGTAAGTCAGCCTATTGAACAATGAATAGTTAGGAATCGTTGAGTTAGGCAAATCGGAAAATAACGATATGTCCATATTATATACATACAGTTAGGCAAGAGTCCTATTAATAAAGTTGCCACATATAATTAGGCAAGAAGCTGACAGTTACCAACCTGGTTTTACATTTAGGCAGCCATTATTCGTATCCTCGCTGCTTATAGGCATTAGGTTATTGTTGTAAGCCTGCCTGTTGAACAATGAGACGTTAGGAATTGTTGAGTTAGGCAAATCAGAAAATATTCCTATGCCCTAAGTTGATACATACAGTTAGGCAAGAAGCTGACAGTTACCAACCTGCGTTGTACAATTAGGCAGTATTTGTTCTAGTCAAAATTATTGAAACTTACTCAGAGTTTCATCCCATCCCTCCTGAACGCGATTGCCGGTTTTAAAATCAACCCTGTACAGATATTAATTATTCGTTCAGGAAGAGAAAAAAAATAAAACTCTCCAACCCGATGCAGGGAGTAAATTAAAGAAAGGCAACATACTTACCTTTTTTGGGTATATAGTAGCCTCCCTCTCGGCCGCTATGTAGGATGGCCGGCTATATTAAACTAATGCGTTAAAACTGCGCCGCGAGGCCTGCACAGGAGGCTAGGTATTTAGAGATATGCCTTACACTACACAAGTGCGCAACTTCTGATCATGACCAATGTACAAATAAAGTAGGAGTCAAATCGAAAATAACATTAAGCGTTTAAATATTTTTATTTTATTTTATTGATTGATTGATTGGTTGATTGATTTCATTCAGACAGTTGCCGGCGCCAATACACATATAGAGAAAGAATACACAATTCTGCGTGAATATAGCTTAACTTTAACAGATACCTTTAAAAACTATATTAATCAAATTGATTGTACGTCCGACATAACGAGAGTATATAGCATAATGGACTTATCGGAGCAGAGAATTTGAGAGAAAAAGGGATGCGTAAGTTTTCTGGCTCCTTACAAACTAGAATTATACACGGATCGCTTTTGGTTTAAAAAAAGTACCTTACTCACATGCAATTTCATAAACATTGTTATGTAATGCAAAACATTTAGGAACATTTAAGAACGACCAAATACAAATCCGATATGTGGTAAGGAGCATTAATTGTACAATTAGATTTTTGTAACCTCATATACCTTCAACAAATGATCTTTGGATAGCAATACCAGCACTTTACATATATCATGCAAATAAAATGGCAACAAAAAGGACAGCCCTTTATGAAAGATAATGTTTTGTTTACATTTAGGTTTAGCAATGGCATTTAGAATAAACCTTGGATAGGGATATGCTTATTAAAAATGCTTTAGGAAACAGCCAACAACATATGCAAGTTTCAAGTTTCAAGCGTCATTTTCGGGCCGACAAATCAGTTTTATTTCTTTCTTACAGGAGGTCGTACACCTTATTGATGGAAAAATCCATGCATTTGCCGTGATCGCTAAAGGGGAACTATCTTTACCACACGAGTTCGACCCAGCATGTGCTGCAAACAACATCATCATTGGGCTGTACCCGGCTGACGTCACCCTTTTGCAAGGTGAGTATTAATAGACGTTCTTTTTTTTCCTTTAACAATTTTGAACAGTGCTGGAAAGTTCGACTACAGTGCTAAAGTGGATAATATGAGTGGGTAAATCCCATGGGATACAGTTACACCGAAAGTACTACTAAAGAAAACATATGATGGGTATAGAAGAAACTGAAAATAATCATGAAAAAAGATTGTAGGGAATCTTATATATAAAAAGGTTATATAGTACCTTTGTTAAGAGACGTCAAGGCAATAGATAATTTCTAGACTATGCATATGTTTATCCAGATTGTATATCCCGTTTATTAATGTAACGAAGTAATAAAAAACGATTAGCTTAACTGTGAATCTATTCTATTACACATTCCACGTACATTTATTATGATAGTATAAAGCGTGGGTATTGTGCTCCATGTATCTCTGACTTATCTTCTCTGTAATTTCTAAATATATTTTCAGACATGGCATCTATGGCACAGCGCCCCCTTGCCTTTTGCATGTTTGCAACAAACGAGGACACAGTAATCGCAGACAAACTTCGGTGTGGTGGTAGTGTTCATGAACTTTCCCGCGCTGTCCAAACTGGTATGCCACATTTTGATGCTTCATTACTTTTCTTGATAACGCCTACCTCCTTGACCTGTTTTCAGGATAGTAAAATGTTTGCTTTTACATTTTTCATGACATTATGTCAGTACCAACATTTTAGTTGTGGTCGTTAACTTTTTTGTTTTGCATGTAAATAAAGACATATAATCAGGTAATCCATTGCGTTCAGACTGAAATCAGAATTCGTTGAAGCCGGTTCAAAACTGGGATCAGGGCTGGAAAATACCTCCAGAGGTGGTTGTCGATCGTACCTGTTTTCATGTGACTTGGAATGTTTAGACGGGGCCACACGTATCCTGCTTTGGTGGAATTCGGCTTTAGCGTGCCTTCCCGAATTTCGTGTAAAGAGAGAGTTGGTCATTCTTTACTCATTAACGATAAACGATAAAGTTTAAATCGAGTTCAGCATAATCTTTTTCTATATTCGTCACCTCCTTAAAAAAAAACTACATCACAAATATGTCATTGTATTCACATACAATTGAGTAGTTATTGTCATGGGTACTTTTGCCTATGCTACCAGAATACCCTGCTATTAAAAACAAATGACGGGTGACCTATATTGTGTTTATATTAACATTGCAATTAGTGAGCACAGGGGCATGGTTTTGAAAACAAGATGTTAACGTCATTGTTTTTTTTTATTATTTTAAAGCATTTTGATTTTGATGTCTAACAAAAAAATACCTTAAAACCCGGAAAATAGTACAGAGTGATTTGTAACGTTATTTTTTTTTTCAATTAGTGAATAAGTATGCGTCACACAATGACAATTTATAACTGCCTTTCTTTTTGTTGCCTACAGCTAACGTGACACGAAATCGAGCATCTGCACTTGCCACGGTGCAGACAATTACTGGTGCCATACAACTCGTAGAACTGGCTGTAAATACGATTGGAAATTTATTCGGAATCTTTACTGGTCAGGATGAACCACCACCAGGTATGTGTCTCCTTGAAAAAGAACTTTTAAGGCAGATTCGATTGTGACATCATCATTGCATGTTAATTCCTCGTCTTCTGGGCATCATTTTATTATGATATATAATATAGAGTTTCATATGGTTTTATCATCGTGAGCGTATGTTATCTTATTTTTAATTATTACATAATTTTGTCAACGGGAATGTATAATTTAAGTTACTTTGTTCCTGTACTCAGATGACACTCCACCAAGGTTTCTATCCTGTCCACATGTTCCCAAACTGACGATCGGACATGGAGAGACAACTGCCCGCGTTAACATACGCCGGCCTACCTACACAGATGACCGCGATGAACCAGGGAATTGCCAGTATGTTGTTATGTATAAGCCATTATCACAAAATAAAGTGAGCAAAAATCCACCTTTTTCAAGTTATTAAAGCAGAAATGGTCTGTACAGTACCTAGCAATATTAATACCATTATAGAGTAGAAATTGGCCAAAATAGAGAGATAAGCATGCCAAGGGAGTTTGGCCGTTGAGAGAACAGTTCGCCGCCCCACTGTTCTCTTAACGGCTAAACTCCCTTGGCATGCTTATCTCTCTATTTTGGCCAATTTCTACTTTTTCCAGCCGCCTCCTCAAGCCTGGTATAGGCTACATTTTTAACTGAATGTTAAATATTGTAAGAGCCTAATTTGTATGGCCTATGAATTTAAGAATCTGATAAAAGCTATAATGTCAACGCATGATGATCGTCACATTTGTGAGGATGGGGAATGCAACATTCTTGGTGACGTAGTTTACCTGGGTGCCGTCCTTTTTGTATGCCGGTGCTCCCTTTAGCATCGGTCACAACCCGCCGTATGTGCATCTGCATGCTGTGTACGTTCCAAAACGTGGACAAGAGGATCCGTGGTGAGTACCGCCTCCGTACGGAATCCAACTGATTTGAGAGCTCGCCGGAACGCCGAAACGCTTTAAGCCTCGGTCACAACCCGCCGTACGTGCTTTTTGTCTGTACTTTTTTTGGGAGGCCACGTCTTCTAAAAACCACTTGCACAATTTTACATGCACTTAAAGCGTCGGTCACAACCCGCCGTACGTGCATCTGCGTGCTGTGTACGTGCAAAAACGTGGGCAAACTTAGGGGATCTGTAAGTGGTTAGTACCACTTCCGTACGGAATCCTACGGATTTGGGAGCAAGCAGACACGCCGTAGAATTGTAAGTGCATGTAAAACTTTTTTTTCTGCGCTCGGTCTGCTAATTCCGGCGACGCGCGTACCCTGTACAGCCTATGAGCGTTCATTACAACGCTCTGACTCCGTGAAGTGTTCTCACGGGCAGTTGCTGTACGTACAGCGCACAAAGCACGTGCGTGCCGCGCACATTGGTTGCGTAATCCGTGCTTACTCCGCACTTCCGAGTTCACCTGCTCAATGACTGGGTAGAGCACACGTGCACTGTACAGGGTGCTCACGTACAACGCACGTAAAACGCACATGCTTTCTACAGTACGTACGTCGCACGTGTAGGTACGGCCTGTACGCGGTAACGTGGCAATCGTACAGAGATCGTACGTTGTAAGCACGTACAACTAACCACCTGCGCAACGAACGATACACGCAACCGCTCACGGCCAGACGTGGCGTGCAGACCACGTACTTACACCTTGCGCAACACGTGCGGAGGGTTGCTACCCGGACGCTTTACAAACAGTCTGAGAACAGTTAGATATGGATCGGCTGGAAATTGAATATTCGGCTAGATTTTGGTCTAGCCCGGTGTGCTGATTTTCTCTTCTGTCTTCTTTATTAGCCAAATGTCTTAGTATGTGGTCTTATCTCGGGAGGGGGTTGTTTATTTGTTTGGTCAGACCGGGGATGATTTTTGAAAAATTAAAACAAACACGGCCACAGAAAACATCTTGCTTTAAAAAAATAGAAAAATGGATGTAACCAAAATAAATTTATGGCTGTACTTGACACACATGTGCAGCAAATTTTATTCCCCTTACCCGTAAACAGCACATGGCCGTTTGGACTTCTGTAGTGGTACATGTAGGTCATCCGGTGAAATACTCTCCGCCCAGCCCTGCCTACATGGCATCATCACCGAACAAATATTATTTAACCGTTCCAGACTATTTCTTATGGAGCGAGTATGTAGCGAGTCCCGTTATACAAATAGGATGGCACCCAGGCTAGACGTAGAGAGCTGCAACATTCTCTACTACAAACATGCATAATGCATTACTCACAGTCAAGTATCACACGTAGCTGTTTACAATCTATTGTCTATTTTTGCAGGCTAACTGAATCCCCTTCATTGAACGGCATGTATCTGTCGGCAGGATCGTATGAAGTAACGTACACAGTTTCTGACAGCTCGGGAAATGCTTGTGATGGTACTTGTGCATGCAAGGTGTCGTTTGAAGTTGTGGGTATGTGTGTAATCTTCATCATTCTACAACAGATTTATAACATATAACCATATTCAATGTATTGTGTATACTTATGATGGAAGACATCATAAATCCTTGATCGGTTCTACTACATATTATATAACTGCTTAACCCTTGTCCTGTTGGTTTTTTTTTTTACATAATATCTCATTATTTTATGTCTTATGTTTCGTGTCTTTCGCGGGCATTTCTAAGCCTCCTTCTAGATAAAGATATGCAAAAGAGAAATCGTGTCAGTCAGCCTCTTTTCACGGCGGAGGGCGATTGTTGAAGGACCTAAATTCAAATTTATTCACGCTTCACATATTAACATACGAGGCGTGGCATGTGGATGCATATGATTTAGAATACGATAAAACATCCAAAGCTGTAGATATATGTTATTAATCAATAATATTGTCATCCCAGTCGCTCAGTGGTCAGAATTGGTTTAAGTAAAAAAGAGCAATGTAATTATATGCGGTTTGCAGAGATTCGCACAGCGAGTTTCCTCGTCCTAGGGGACGAAAGTCGCAGGGTACGAGTTTCTTTTTACCCAAGAGCGAAAGCGCGCAGACGACCCTATTCGTGCGAATATCGTCGATCTTACGCTAAGCCGTGTACACTTACTTAAAGGTAACCGTATTCTTGCGAATTTTGTCGACCTTACGCTGGGCCGCGGACACGTACTTAGGTAACCGTATTCATGCGAATTTTGTCGACCTTACGCTTGGCCGCGCACACGTACATAGGTAACCGTTTTTGTGCAAATTTTGTCGACCTTACGCTAGGCCGCGCACACGTGCATAGGTAACATTGTACGTGTGAATTTTGTCAACGTTGCGCTTGGCCGCGCACACGTACTTAGGTAACCGTATTGGTGCAAATTTTGTCGACCCTACGCTTGGCCGCGCACACGTACTTAGGTAACCGTATTCGTGCAAAGCTTTCCATACTTACCAGCCGGGCCGGAAAGATCGGCAGGCATGTTGTGTTCAGCTGCACTCCATCACCGGTACTAGATTTGTAAATATAGTTTAGCTATCGATTAGAAAAATATCGCAAATTGCTGCAGTTTTCTCGTATCACGCGGAGTAGGCCCTGCTTACAGGTTCATACCGGAAGTTCATTAAAGTTACAGAAAACACATGTTTACAAAAACACGGAACATGGAACTCGGAGAATGTGCCAGTTACTTCGTACAGCTGGCTGATTCCAAATACACTGCAAATAAACCCAGTAATAGCTATGAAGAATGAAATACTATCATTTATGTTCTAAAACAGGGAAATTAACAGTTAAACCTCCGATTAAACCTAAGGACAAGGGCAAGGTATAAAAAACACCAGTAGTGTATAAAAATGCTAGATTGAGGAAACCAAGGAGGCTCTAAAAAGAGGAAACGATTATGTTTTTTGTGTCATTTTATTTGACATGTAAGCGAATAATATCTTTCTTTATGTTTTAAAGGGGTATATTGCGACCCTATCACCTGGCCACCAAACATCGCTAGAATTACATGTACACCAAACGTAGCAGGGCCTCCTGTGTGGGGAACTAGATGCCAGTACACCTGTCTGCCAGGGTACCGTATTTCAGGAGATACTACGCGTACATGTGAGCATGCCGGTGGAAGTAAAGGGTGGTTACCTACAACAGATATCCGGTGCGAAGGTAATGGATGTACTATTTTCTACGAGAACTTTTTTTTGTTTTTGCTCAGCGATCCTCAAAGTCATCTTTCAATTGTATATGACTTCTATAAAAAAATCACAAGTACAAGGTAGGAAAAACTTCCATATCGATCTTGAATTAACGTTATCAACGTCACTATCTCTTTATGTAAAACAGAGTGTTGTTGTTTTAACATGAATCTTCCGAAATCAGGGCTTGAAACTGTTACCTATATGCAACGGCTCACGCTATATTTATATCTAACAAAAAATATGCTTGTGGTTTGAATAAATATGTCCGATCCCTGTTCTGTCTAAGCAAATGTGGTGTCCACGTATACCAGTATAAAATTTTTGATTGATGATTAAAGGCTTTGGGGACATCAGAGGATGGTGTACTAGAAAAAAATCATAACAAATATTTTGATGTCGTTATGACGTCATTTATGTGATTTTACTGGCCAAAACCGTATACATCATAGCTTAAAAATGCTTATGATAGAAAACTAAGGTGGACTAAGACATATGTTGCCCATAGCAACACCGGTGACGTCATAAAATGACGTGATGCATTTTTAAGCTATCCGCCATCTTGGATAATAAATCTTGAATTTTTTTTCAAGATAAAGCCTTAAATTCATTGAAAATAGACTAAAGACGTTCACAGAAACCTTTTTCGTAAAAATGTAGTGATAAGTAGTGATAAAATTTCAAGGAAAATAACCTTTTTTATACCTGATCTAATGTTGTGGTCCGCCATCTTGAATTTGGTCAATAATATCATCAAATTAGCATAAATTTTATATCTTTAATGATGAAATTTACATAAAAATACACGAGATGTCATTATTATTAAAATGTGCAACATGTGTAACTTGACATAAAACATGTAAAATTCTAAAAACTAAATTTAGTAAAAAAATGCCCGTCAGAAACCTCTTACCATGGCAACACCAAAATCATTATCTTATTTCACTGATACAAAATTATTGCCAACAATATTTTAGAAAAAAGTCACAGAGTTAAAGGGTTCTAGCGCTTGCCGTTCGGACACTTTTGCCCCCCCCCCCGCGCTAGATAGGGTTAATTTCTAACTTGCATCTTATGGCGGTCATAGACACATTTTATGTATTGCCTTCTTATTTGCAGAGAGCACTTGTGTTGCTATTCTGGCCCCACAATATGGCACTGTAAGCTGCACTAATGAAAACAAGTACCGCAGTGTCTGTCAGCTCGAGTGCAGGGAGGGGTATGTTCCTGAAGATCCCAATAGAATAGCTACAATCTGCCAAGCTGATGGATGGGATGACCAGTTGACTAGATGCAAAGGTATTTCCCTTTTGATACTCCTAACAAAATTTTAGTATATATATATATATATATATATATATATATTTATCTGCCGAAAATGTGGTTGATGTTATACCTTCCAAGCAGGCGCATTTTAGACTGTTTATAAACTTAAAGTCGGATTAAGATAGGGGAAAAAAATTGTTTAGTTAATACAATAACAGATAATGTGAATCACAACCTTACTTGCAAAATTATTTAGTCTTTGCAAAAAAATTAAATATGCCAATATGATATATTGTCTGCGAAGTCATGGTTTGCTTTTGCTTGCCCTCATACAAAACATGTGTTTTGTTTAACTCTTTACATTCTCCGTATAAATTTCCGATTCACAGACTTTCAACCACCGGTCTTCGTCGACTGCCCAGCAGATATCGTGGCCTTTGCAGAAAGAAATAAAGATACAGCAGACGTTACATGGGAGGAACCAACCGCCATAGATAAAATTGATAACAATATAGAAGTACCCGTTCCTGTTCATCTCAGCGAAGGTAGTCCACCGAGGTCCACCTTCACTCACGGACAACACCTTATAAAATATACCGCAACAGATGCATTTTCAAACGAAGCAACGTGTTCCTTTAGTGTACTGGTACAAGGTATGTATAAAAAATGATTTTAATCAGAATTTCTATCTTAATTAGATAAAACTATGTTGTCCGTAATATCATCAATTATTATTTCTCTCATAATCTATTCTTCTCAATTAGTACACAGCATATTGTTTTATTAATACTAAAAGATGTATTATATATTTCTTTACAGTGATCACATGCCCTCCTATCAGATACACGTTGAAAGCGGAGCTTTCCTGTCCAAATGGATACGTATACGGCTCATCGTGTAGTTTTGGGTGTGAGACAGGCTACCCCGTGGTCGGACCTACTTCATTTTCCTGTGAAAGAAACTACAGCAACAGTGAACCAGTAGGGTACTGGGATTGGGGATCAAGTGGATCTCAACCCTTCTGTCAAAGTAAGATAGAATTTTTTTTTGCAATTCTGCATTTTAACATATTTTAAATGGCAATCATTATTATGGGTTCACCACACCACGAAGTGGTGTGGTGAAACCATATTGCTTTTTCTGATGTTTCTTCTTCTCCTCCTTCTCCTCCTGCCATTTTTTAAATGGATTCAGCTTCTTCATTTTAGGGCCCAAGGTCCTGAAATTTGGTATGGAGGTACAGTGGGCAAATACCCCTACGCGTTTTTTAAATTATTGTGATACAGGCTTTTAGAATGGTTTTATTTGAGTTTTTTGGCTGTGTTATAGCTAATGTATTACTGTGTTAGTGTGCCTTGTTTACCACGTTTGGGCATGAGTCATCACAATGGAATGCAGGGCATCAACCAATAGGCATGCAGCTTTCCTCTATACTTCTTGCTGATTGGCTGTTGGGATTTAACTTGATTAACACCTGCACAGAAGCATTTCCATACTGACAGTATGTCTGTATTCAAGTGTTTTGGTAGGTATTTCAAGCTTTCCTGCTCCAGCATTGGAATGCGGGGCATGTAACGTTTTTTTTTTATTTTGAAAATCAACAGTTTGCATTATGCAATTAAAAATCCTAACCAATAAAGTAGGGAAAAGCTATCCAACTGTTGTTTTAGTTGTATTTTACTTCATATTATAGTTATATCAATGTAAATCATTGTTTTCCCTTGTGTTTCCCATTCTTTCCCTGCCATGTCGTAAAATGTGGTGAACCCATCGCTGTATTTGCTCCAAAGCAAATATTGGCCTTTCTAGTTTTATTCGGAATACATATTGTATGCAATTCATGGTGCATATTATGCACCAGATCAAGTGAAAGCTTCTGCATCTATTCTGATTATTACCTCCATGAAAAATGGAGCTATTGTTTTTGGCGTGTCTGTCTGTCTGTATGTATGTATGTCTGTGTGTGTGTCTGTCTGTGTGTGTTTCCGCAACTTTGTGGTCAGCATAACTTCAGAACGCCATTATGGATTATGATGATATTTGGTATGTTGGTAAGTCTTAGGAAGACAAACGTCAAGGTCAAATATGGGCCTCTGGTGGATGACCTTGGTACTGCAGCAGAACTTCCGGTTTTTTGTATCTTTTGTCCTGAACATGCTATGGTCTTGATGTTTTGGTGACAGATTGCTATTCCTGTCAGGAATAAGTGGTGTGAGTAAAGTCCCCCTAGCAGCTTGTTCTGGAACTGCAGGGCACTTTCTGGCGAAATGTTTAAAAGCCAATAAGTCCAGATAGGAACAACATATTTTCATAATTTTTGGTGTGTAGGTAGCTGAGAGAGAGATGTACATGATTAAATGCAAATTATGCAAATTAGGACTTTATTTGCATAATTATTGAGGAAATTCTATAATTACAGTGTTTTACATTATACTACTTTCATACATGTAATGTATGTAACCTATGGCAGACAGAACATCAACAGATACTAATTATGCAAATGATGGCCTAATTTGCATAATTTATGCAAAAATTCTATGATTTCTTAATGGTGAATGATGGGAATATCATACTTGGGACATCTGTAACTTAATCAAAAGTTAACATACATCATGATGCATATATCATGTTAATGCAGAGGTAATTTGCCTAATTAAAGAAGAAATTTACATTTACATATTAAGTCCATATTTCATGGAGGTATGAAGTCTCGGAATTCTTGTCTATATCTGTATTTGACTTTATATAGTTGTACCGTGCCCAACACTTCGGCCGCCGGACAATGGAGCCCTGGCCTGTGACGGGTGGGCGTATGGAACATTCTGCCTCATTCAGTGTAATGAGAACTGGGACGTCCCTTTGGACAGTCCGGAAAGATACGTTTGTGAAACCTTGTCCGGTACTTGGAATCCCGACGATGACGTTCCCGACTGTGCATGTAAGTAGTGATGTGGACAGCAAAACGGAACATGTTTTAATTACTAGTACATTTAACAATATTGATAATGTTATAACCTCTACATTGAAGGTTGTATTTCTGGTAGCGTTTGTATGTATGTACGTATGTGTGTGTATTTATGTAAGTTTATATATAGTGTGCATTTATATTTGTATATTTGTATGGTGGATGGATGGATGGATGGATGGATGGATGGATGGATGGATGGATGGATGGATGGATGGATGGATGGATGGATGGATGGATGGATGGATGGATGGGTGGGTTGATGGATGGATGATTTATGTGATTTACCACAGCATGCCGCCTGCTATGATGAGCACTATTCTTAAATCGTAGCAGTTAGGTACTGTAACATTACGGAAATCACTCCTATATTCATACAACTGTGGAACAGGTCATTCATCTCGTTGGCAAATGTTGGGTTATTTGTTGTAACGTCCTTGCTTTGTCTAAAGGGGTACCTGTATTCATTTAGGGACCCCAAACGAAAGTTAGACTCAGGCCGGCATTTGAAATTTCATTTGAATATTATTAGATGTCAATAATAAAAATGAAGTTCTCACCTACATAATTCACGACCAAAAGCTACAACATCCTCCTTTTCTAAGATGATATTTATGTGATTTACCACATATTTATGTGATTTACCACATATTTATGTGATTTACTTTGTATGCTCCACCTCTATGGAGGATGAATGATGATGATGATGATGAGGATGGTATTTTCATACTTTTAACAACTTGACTTTTTACGCGTTTGTTTCTTCACATTTATAAAATCGTTATCATTTTGATAGATTTGTCTGAAATTATCGATGTCGTTTTTTTAACAGATGGTATCAACCGCCGAGGCCACACCACAAAAGCAATAATTACTTCATAAAAGATTATATCATCTTATTTAAAAAATGTAATATATTACTTGCAAACTGGCATCATATTGCAATTTTAGGTGTTTTGTTTTTCTATTGCTCAGTGCCACGCGATCCCGACAGCATGAACCTACCATCAGAACTGTACTACTACTCAGGGGACTGCAGGGACCCGGAGACTCAAGTACAGATTCAAGAGAACTTCATCGCGATTCTCAACAGTTCCGACTATAGTGACATATGTCAACTGTTTGTAGAATGCGCTGCTGAAAACGTGCAGGTAATCTGCGGTAACGTGACAACGCGCTCCGGTCAGCCGTCCTACCAACTTCAAGTCACGTTTGACTTAACTGTCAAGATCAAAGCACAGACAAACCAGAATCCTAGTTACATCGATTTAGAAGATACCCTATTCGCAATGGCCAATAAGATTGACCAGCGGGTAAAGGGTGGAAACTTCTCCTTAGATAACGTAACGGCCATCGAGCTGGAAGTGCAGCCTGACTCTTTCGTAACGAAGAGATGGACGAATCTTGTCTGCGAGCCAGGATTCCTGCCCAACTATGACACATACATGTGCAGTAAGTGCTATGATTAATTATGGGTTCACCACACCACGAAGTGGTGTGGTGAAACCATATTGCTTTTTCTGATGTTTCTTCTCCTTCTCCTCCTCCTTCTCCTCCTCCTGCCATATCTTTAAATGGATTCAGCTTCTTCATTTTAGGGCCTAAGGTCCTGAAATTTGGTATGGAGGTACAGTGGGCAAATACCCCTAGGCGTTTTTTAAATTATTGTGATACAGGCTTTTAGAATGGTTTTATTTGAGTTTTTTGGCTGTGTAATAGCTAATGTATTACTGTGTAAGTGTGCAGTGTTTACCACATTTGGACATGAGTCATCACAATGGCATGCAAGGCATCAACCAATAGGCATGCAGCTTTCCTCTATTCTCCTTGCTGATTGGCTGTTGGGATTTAACTGGCTTAACTTCATTTACACCTGCACAGAGCCATGCCATACTGACAGTATGTCTGTATTCAAGTGTTTTGGTAGGTATTTTAAGCTTTCCTGCTCCAGCATTGGAATGCGGGCTATGAACGCTTCTTTTTATCTTGAAAATCAACAGTTTGCATTATGCAATCCTAACCAATAATGTAGGGAATAGCTATCCAACTGTTGTAGTCTTAGTTGTATGTTACTTCATACTATAGTTATATCAATGTAAAGCATTGTTTTCCCTTGTGTTTCTCATTCTTTCCCTGCCATGTGGTAAAATGTGGTGAACCCATTGCTATATTTGCTCCAAAGCAAATATTGGCCTTTCTAGTTTATTATTTCGTTGCATAGCATGTGTCAGCTTGACTTGACTTTATGTGACTGCATTGTGACTGGTGAACTCTGTCTTTCACTGATAGCCATTCCAGCTTCTCTAGCAACCTGTCCTTTGATTTCTTGTGTACCTGTCGCATCCCAGGGCAATCCTGGCTGCTCTGTTCTGTATCACTTGGCCCACACTGAGCTGCAGAAGTCACGATTTGTCAGTACCAGGGCTTGGATGAGTTCTATCCTGTGCTTCACAGAAGTGATTTTCTCACCCTGCTTACTTGGGCAACGCTCCTATTTCACTTCTTCACTACAAGGTCTATGAGAAAGTGAGGCTTTGGGAGCCATCCATACCGACCTTGGTTACCTCGGAGATTACCATTGTTCTTTCTTAACGTTTAACACAAACATGTCGCCATTTAAGCAATCTAAGTTGGACATACTTTTTTCTATGTTTTCAAACTGTTTTTAATAAAAGATAATCCCTGCCTTGCCCCAGAGGGATGTATCAAGGGAAGTTTTCTGGACGCAGACAAAGGGTCGTGTGAGAAGTGTGAAACCGGGCAATTCCAAGATGAAGATGGCCAAACAACATGCAAGCCATGTCCTCCTGGTACATGGACCGTGAAAAAAGGAAGCAGAGCTATAGACCAATGTTTGGGTCCGTTGTTAATTTAATTTTGCTATGTTATAGCGTTGTCATTCGATACCCACTTTAAAATCAACAATTTTACTATATATATATTAACCTCTTTTTCGCCAATATCGGCACTGCAATATCTGTAGGAAAATATTATTTTGGTTAGCATGACTAAAACCTAAAACACTCTTAGCAGCTTTAATAATTCTGCTGATATCATAGTTTCCAGCACTTTTTTTACACTGCTTTATAAAGTGTGAATAACCACACTATATAATAGATGATGTGCAACCCCACAACAAAAGCAAATTAACGTTTTTTTCTACTATGTTCAGTTAAATGTCAACACGGCTGGTACTCGGACACTGGTATGGAGCCGTGTGCACAATGCGAAATGGCCCACTATCAGCCAATGGCAGGCCAGACAAGTTGTCTTAGATGCCCAACCGGGCAAATAACGACGATTGTAGGTGCAAAGGCAATGAATGAATGTATCGGTAAGTAAAAAAAATAGTTATAAGATAACGATTTACTGATTTTTGCAGTCAGAGAATACTGATTACAGATGTCGCACAGAAGCAAAACGCTTTGAATGAAAGCACATTTACTACCACTACTACTAAAACATTACCTTCTTCTTATAACAGGCATCGATTGGGTCTTCAACGTATCTAGCCGTGTTCAACTAACGCTCACTCCTCAATCTGAACTGCAAGGGATAACCTTCTCCTTCTGGATCCGACCACAATTGAACTCATCGGATGGGTCCATAGTTAACCTGCAGAAAGAATCAAGGATGCTATTTTCTGTTAAGAATCCAGGAGGCATTCAAATAGCTATAACAGGGTATGTATCAGTTCAAAAATTATATTGTACTAATATGGTATTAGTTAGGCAGGTCATTAGTATGTTTCCTGTCTTCACAAAATTCATTGAATGAAGCTAACCATTGGTTTTGCTTCAGCAAAGAATCTTCCTAGAAAAAATATGATAGTACTTTCAATCTTTTAAAAGTCCACAAATGTCTCTAATAGTCTAATGTAATCATCATAAAGTGTTCAGTTTTACCCTGTAATGCAGTTGTAATTATAATCATTGTTGTTGTTTTTTTTTTTAATTACATTGTTGTTGTTTTTTTTACAGCCTACTAAACAGCACATCTAAGTTTAGTGGCTGGTTGAGGACAGGGGTATCTTTAGAAGCCGGTAACTGGCATAATGTTGTTGTCACCATGAACCACATGGAACAAGAATGCAAAGTGTACGTCGATGGTGCCAAATCCTGGTTTCAGAGGCTGCCCAATGACACAGTCACAGTGTTCCCAGCAAACACGGACATCTTACTAGGTGACGTCAGTGAAGGTAAACTGACTACATTAAATCAGTCTAATGAATCTGTCTATCAATGTTTAACAAACAATAAAAAGAGAGTTAAAATTTAAACATCATATTTTTTTTCACGGCAGTTGCTAACAAGTGATTGTAATTAAACACATTTTCTAGCTATCCAACAGCCTGATAAAGTATATAGAGTTAAAACATGGTCTTATAAGACTGATGAAATGCCTACACTACACCACAGCGTATTTAGCCTGCTCTGTATTGGATTATCTTATTTTGTACGTAATATTTTTCCAAAAGGCTCTTTTGCTGGCGACATCAGTGCTTTCAGCGTGTGGAACGGCAGTTTAACGGAGTCTACAATACAACAAATGGCACAGAGCTGCTCTTCGGACGACTCCGGGGCCATAGTGACATGGGAAGATGCCTTTACAAGCACCCTGAAGGGTATAAGGCAGAGGATACCATCAATTTGTGACGGTAAAAATAAGAGTTTTCTTGATAGCCTCATTTTTTTCATTCATTTAGCAAAAGGTAAGGAATTGAAAGGAAATAAGTAATCTCGATGCAGTTTCAGTATCATAATACTTGTGTTCCCTGAAACTGCGTAATTCACAACACTATACTTGTGTATTCCCTTAACAGCCTACATGTAATTCAGTCTTTTGTACATTGTATCATTAGGCTACACACACACACACAAAAAAAAAACAACACATACACATATAAAT